TATTAGTGAATGAAACGTCTTGGTCTTCAAATGTTTATTTCATTGGGGAAAATACAAACAGAACATAAAAACTGAACACAAAATGCTTAAAGCAAATGCTCTACATGACCTCCCTCCATTTGAAGAGATGCTTGAGATCTTCGTACAAAAGAATCGCGTACTCTTTCGAAGACTCCTGGAGATTGGCGAAGAGTCTCACATGCATTTTGCATTCTTTGCTGGAAATCCTCCAAGTTATTAACATGTGCTGAATACACTAATGATTTTAAGTAACCCCATGCAAAAAAGTCTAGAAGATTTAAATCAGTTGATCTAGGTGGCCAAACTATTGAACCTCCTCTTCCTATCAATCTACTATAAAATTCAGTATTAAGAAAATTACGAACAATGATCGCAAAATGTGCAGGCGCGCCATCATGCATGAACCTGAATATTTGTAGCCTATCCTGCAGAGGTACATCTTCGAATAATATCGGCAAAGTGTTTAGCAGAAAGTCCAAATAAGTTGCACCAGTTAAGCGATTGAGAAGAATCGTTGGTCCTATCAATCGGTCACCAAGTATACCAAGCCAAACATTTACAAAAAACTATACTGGCTTCTTGATTTTACAATAGCGTGAGGATTTTCATCCACCTAAACGTGATTGTTATGAAAAAATTCCGTCTTTTGTAAAAGCAGCTTTGTCAGTGAATAAAACACTAGCACTTCACCAAATGCTCTTCTCGAAACGTACTCAGGAGCGACAAGTACTTGTACTCGTTGAACATGGTAAGGATAAAATTGTTGCTGACGTAAAATTTTCCAAACTAGAGAGGCATTAATGTTTACTGCAGCAGAGATCCTTCTTACACTCGTACCTGGATTTTCTTCAACCCTTCTCAAAACACCCTATTCTACTGCAGGAGTACTCACAGATCGAGGTCGCCCAGCATCGTCCTTTACCATATCTAATCTTCTCCTCCATAACTTCCTTCCAACACTTCCCCCAGATCCCGTAGTATGGTCTAATTTATCCTTTCTTCATATTTAATTGCTCTTCTGGCCGCCCTTCTTCCCTCACAATATACCCCGGTGTTACCCTCGCCATGTCCAGAACCCGCCTCCGGTACCGATTCCGTACGTCCTCAAGAATATCCTGCTTCTTCCATCCCCAAACCACCGCCCCGTATATCATTGCACTCCTCGCCAACCCATCAAACATAATCTTTCTCTTTCTGATATCCCTCTCAAACACTCTTTCACCCCATTCCCATCTCCAGATCCACCCCATCACATTACTCGCCCTTTGAATCTATAGCCCAGGTATGTGAATTCTCTCACCTCCTCAATCTCCCTCCCTTCCCATCTCCATTCTTCCCTCCTTTTTCTCTCACCTTGCAGAACTTCATTAACTTTGCCTTTGCTACATTCACCTCCAACCCCTTTCCTTCTCCTGAAATACCTCTCCAAGTGCCTCACCATCCTTCTCATCTCCACCGCTTCCTTCACCACGTGAACCTTTCTCCCCCCTACCACTACTCCTCCTATTTGCTCCTTCTCCAGTCTGTTTTCCAAATCCGCCGTATACAAGGCAAAAAGGCTGGGGTTGTCGTTTCCCTACTCTAATTCTAGCCGTCGTTTCCCTGTATATCTCTTTCACCCTCTTTTTAAGCTGCTCCATGACCCTCCTCCTCTCCATCTCCTCCCACAACTTCTCCCTGTCCACCTTATCGAATGTCGCCCTCAAATTTATGAAGAGGGCATACAACTTCGCTCCCTTCTTATCCAACGCTATATTCACCAGATGTTTTAAGATATACACGTTGTCAATCGCCCCTGTCCCCTTCTCAATCTAAATCTCTTCCACCAATCTTCCCAGCAATACCTTCGCATAAATCTTGTAGGAGGAGTCGAGTAGTTTGATTTCCCTGTAGCTACCCACTGCTCGCTAACTTCCCTTGTTGTACAAGGTGCATATTATATCCATCCTCCCACCATTCGGAAACATCTCCCCCCCACACGTTGTTCAACGCCTCTAACAGCTTCCTTCTCACCTCTCCCGTCGTCTCTAACTATGCCTCGTTCGGTACCTCATCCTCCCCCGGTGCCCTTCCCTTCTTCTATCTTCGCAACACCGTTCCTAACTCTTCTTCCGTAGTTTCCTCACCCCCTTAGTCCTCTCCTCCTCCTTCACCACCTGCCTATCTTCTACCTCTCTCAACAATTTCATAAAGTGACTCCTCCATTCCGCCATTTCTATTTCGTTACTGACCTCCTCTCTTCCGTTACTCAACTTATGCAAATAGCTCCATACATCCTTTTCACATCTTATCTCCTTAATCCTTGCTGATTCCCAAATATTTCTTTGTACTTTCTTCTTGCCTCCTTATATCTTTGTTAGACGTATCCTTATATCTGTCCACCAGAACCTCTCTTCTTCGCCACTATCTCAATCTTCTCCTTGCCTCCCTTTTCTGCCCTTGACTGCTTCTACCAAAAAGGAATCGTTTATTGATATTGCAAATAGGATTTGTTTATTTAGTGTATGCTTTATTCTAGGGGCTTGATGCATTAATTTGCTTTCATGAAATAAACGAATATTAATAAAATTTCTTATGAATAATTTAATTAATTGGATATTATGCCGATCTATAAAATCGTCGAATGCATTCTCGCCAAAAAAATCATAGATATTATAAGACATATTTATCAGAATTGAATTGGTTAATTTTATAAGTATGTTTGTTTTGAACAACATGATTTGTCTTTTGTATTCTGGTATAACCTTGGTATACCCTCTCATGGAATTGACATTTGCAGAAAGTTTTACACAAAGCTAGATTATCCTTGTGGACTTGTCGTAGTCTTTGTGGAAAAAATTGGGACTTACCCCTGAAAGACTGTACGGGCTCTATGTGACTGTGGTTAGACCTATGATCACATACGGAGCCACAGCCTGGTATAGGAAAGCCCGACAGTTGTCAGTAATCAGTAAACTTTCACGAATTCAACGAGAAGCTGAATTGGCAATCTCTGGCACGATAAGCACAACGCCAACTTTAGCAATGAATGTTCTGCTTGGCTTGTCACTTTTGCATTTGTATATACAGAAAGTGGCTCAAACTACTATTTACAGGTCAGATGGGAAGGGATCACTACCAGTGATTTATGCTCGATATCAGATTGTCCTGAATCGAAAACGAAAATTCTCTAGTTCAGGGAGATATCTGCATGTTCACAGATGGATCAAAAACGCCGCAAGGGATCGGGGCAGGAATATACTGCCAGACATTTCGGATTAAGCAAGCTTACACCCTTACAACTAAGTACTACCCGGTATATAATTTATGTATTGTAATGTAATATTTAACATTCGGGAATGCTCGGTGATAATCGGACGGTGGTCCGATCTGTGCACTTTCTCGGTTTCGACAAAGTTTGTTAGTATTAGTAAACAACCCGCGTGTTATGTTGGCTTCAAGTTTTATTGTTTACAACTGCTCCTATATATACAATTTCTTTGCATTCTACCGTTCTTGAGAAAAAACATACAAATTAATTTGGTTATTTCATATTTGTGTAAGTTGGTATTACTTGGTAATGTTGGTATCTAACTTCAGTTCATTTAAATACAATTTCTCGTCATCAAAAATAAGGTTATGTTTTGAAATTTAACATTATTTTTTTAAATATAACAAATAAACAGAATGTGTGTGGATAAAACAAATTGTTTAATTGTCTGTATCGGTTTACCAGGAGCAGGTAAAACAACATTTTGCAAGAAATTAAAGGAAATATGGTTAGATTATGAAATTATACACATAAACTATGATGAAATAATAGGAAGTAATTATTCGTCTGATAAGAGAAAAGAAATCTTAAATGATGTTCATCAATTAATCAGTAACTTACAAAGCAATAAAACCTTAATTTTAATTGATGATAATATGTACTATAAAAGTATGCGATACGAATACCTACAATTAGCAAGAAGACATAGTATTTCTTTTCTGCAACTATACTTTGAAGTAACTTTAAATGTAGCTTTAAAAAGGAATGAAGTCCGAACTAATCCAGTTCCTGATGAGATTATTAAAGAAATGAATCATAAAATGGAAGTACCTCACCAAGATTTTTATTTTATCCCTGAAAGTTTTCAATTTACAGCAACAGAATTGTCTGATTTAAAGGATGTTATAGATAAATCTTTTAATAATCCTATGTGTAATACAAAATGTATCCCAAAAATACAACACAATATAAATGAAAGTAAATTTCATACGATTGATTTAATTTTGAGAAAAATTGTATCTACTAAAGTTAAACATGACCAAAAAAATTCATTAAATTATGTAAAAACACGTAAAGACGTTTTAAAAAAGATTAAAAATGGGGAATATTGTGAACTGGAGAATTTAGATGAAGAAAATATTGAGAAAATTTTAAGCAAATTATTTTAATTTGTATCATGATCTTTTATAAGTATCATGGTAGGGATATCAAATAAATTTATCAAGAAAAAAGTAAAATGATTCATGTTTGACCTATGTTATCAACTAAGTAGACTTAGAACCTATTTAGTTTCTTAACGAATCGAGTTAAGTAACAATCAAAATGGATAATTTGGTGTGTGTCAGTGATTTTGAAAGCCAAGCCTCTAAAATTTTATCTAGAAACGCTTTAGATTATTATAAAAGCGGTGCTGGACAACAAACAACCCTTCAAAATAATAAAACAGCTTTTACAAAGTAACAAAAACTATCATCTAAATAATTATATAAATAACACAAAATATTTTTATAGATTACGAATACGCCCAAGATTTTTAACAAATGTTTCAAATCGAGACTTATCAACAACCATTTTGGGTGAAAAAATTTCTATACCGATTGGAATCTCACCAACTGCAATGCAAAGAATGGCTCATCCCGGCGGAGAATGTTCAAATGCAAAAGCAGCTGAATCTTTTAATACAATATTTACACTAAGTACCATAGCTACAAGTAGTATTGAAGAAATTGCTGAAGCTGCACCACATGGATTAAAATGGTTTCAATTATACATCTACATTGATCGAAATGTAACTTTAAATCTTATTAGAAGAGCTGAAAAAGCGGGGTTTAAAGCAATTGCCTTAACAGTTGATACTCCCATGTTTGGTTTACGTTTAGCTGATGTTAGAAATAAATTTACTTTACCTCCTCATTTAAAATTTGCTAATTTTGAAGGTGAAAAATCCACTAAGATTAATACAACGCAGGATGGTTCTGGTTTAAATAATTATGTGGAGAAATTATTTGATACTTCCTTAACTTGGGATGATGTAAAGTGGTTAAAATCGGTTACAAATCTTCCTGTGGTTATTAAAGGGATATTAACCGCGGAAGATGCGAAAATTGCTGTTGATATTGGCGTGGAGGGGATTTGGGTTTCAAATCATGGAGCTAGACAAGTTGATGGAGTCCCAGCTTCAGTAAATATTTTAGTTTTTTAATAATAAATGTTTTGAGTATTTTTTTTGTTATAGATTGAAGCTTTACCAGAAATTGTTAAAGCTGTTGAAGGAAAAGTAGAGGTTTATCTTGATGGAGGAGTTACAGATGGAACTGATGTTTTTAAAGCTTTGGCTTTAGGAGCTAAAATGGTACAATTATTAATTTGTAATGAGTAGGTTATGTAACGACATTTTTTAGGTTTTTATTGGCAGACCTACTTTATGGGGATTAGCTTGTAACGGAGAAGAGGGTGTAAAAAAAATTCTTGAGATATTACGTAAAGAATTTGATTTTGCTTTAGCTTTAACAGGTAGTGCAAATATAAAATTATTTTTCAAATTAAACATCTTTCTTCTTTGTTAGGTTGTTCTTCTGTTGTTGATATTAAAAAAGAAATGGTTGTCCATGAGAGTTATTATGCGAAAATTTAAAAGCTTTTATTTTTATATATCTTTTATTGTCACTTTCTTTGTACAATTAAAACACAATAGCTACAATATATAATGTACAACTTACACACTAATATCACTTCCTCCTCAAATCCATCAAGTTCACTCACCCACTCTATACCTCCTTACCTAAAATCGCTGCACCTTAGTATATGATCAATTGTCTTTCAATCATCCCCATACAATCTACATGTCTTCTCCTCATCCCTCTCTCTCTCTCTCTCTGTAGCATTACAACCCAGGGTGGATCTTCACTGAGTTTGCAATTTGCCTCCATTTGCTGTGGTCCAACATTAGTTCCTCTGGTCGTTCGATATATATCTGTACCTGACAGTTAAAGGGACATAAGTCCAAAATGACTTAATCGTAGAATAGCCGAAAATGTCTAATTTTTTACTTCAAATAATAATAAATTGATATAATTAATAATTCTCATGCTCTTACCTACCTCACAAATAAAGCTCGGAAATATGGATATTTTTTAATATTAATAGTCTGTAAAAGTATTAATATTCATTAATACCATATTTTTATCAAAAATCTTTATTTCCACAAAATTATTGGACTTACTACATTTTGGCTCTAAAAAATTAAATGATTATTTGGACTTTAAATTAATGGAACAAAAGTCTTCTTTAAATGATGTTTTAAAAAACAAAGTATGTACCTAATGTTTCTCGTCGAATTTGGGGCTAAACAACGCTGGATAATTTAAACTGTTCTCCTCCATTACTTTTTTTTCTTGATATGAATGGTGCTGTTAATTATGAGTAAAATGTACTAAAATTTTTAAAATCTAGACTCAGAGAATATATTAAATGGGGGTTGTTTACAATCACGAATAAAATTAATCCAATCATTGCAAGTAAAAATTGGTTTAGTTTTCTTTTTTGCACGTTCAGCAACGACAATTTACTTCCATATGAGTATGGGCTCGTAATAAAAATTTATGATTTATAACCTGAATGCTGGGAAATACATGTACATTACAATCATTATCATATTTCAGTTTTTTCCGGCACAGTTGTCAGTCCAAAGTGTTAATGTTTCAATTTTTGATTTCTATAAGTAGCCATTTAAAAAAAACAGGAAGCCTTTTCATTAAAACCTTTTCTAGCTTTGGTTTCATCACACATCATACACCAAGTGTTCTTAGTACAAGGATTATGTATTGTGTAATTTAGGGACCACAACTTTTGAAAATGAATTAGAATTAGTCAAAAAGGGAGACACTTTTGAAGAGCGGCCATTACCACTTGTAAATTTTCATTACTTTCTAAAGCACATTTCATGTCTTCATTTTTCATTTGATATCTATTATTTGCATCATCTAAACGTGAATCTCACTCTTTAGAAATGGCTTGTTTTTCTTCTGCACTAACATTAGCGTTAAAATACATTAAAATAATCACACATATCACATGTGTCGTCGTCTGGTAAATGGAACGACAAATTCAACATTTCGTTGAAGATTTTTCTAAAAAGCCATTTCTTAGCTGATTCTTCACCTTCCTTCCTAAGTTCTTCGCAATATAACCCATACATTTTTGAAATATTTAAGCCATCTTCGAGATACTTATTAGCAGACCTTTCTCAGTCAATGTGCTTAGTGATTTTTTCAATACTTCATCAGAAATTTTATTGGTAGGTACTTTTCTACCTCTTTAATCAGGCACTGACGTATTACATGTAGACTTCTTTTTTAGAGCGTTATAAAAAAAATTTTCATTGTCGATAAAGTGTTTATAATAAATAATTTACAGTCTGATGTTTTTGTTTTCAATGAAGAAATTGTATAGAGTTGTGTACGCAATTTTGTAGATAGAGGGTCTCTTAGTCTACGTCGTTTTATATCTTTAGTAAATACGCAAGAATTAATGAGCTGCTTCCCAGAACTTGCACTCCCAAGAAAGAACTTTTTTCCAAAAATCATTATTTTTTTTATATAATTCACCTTGTTGTCACCTAACTTTTCGTATATTTTTCTTCCAATTATCTTCATACCTCATTCGTTTTTTATACTTTAATTTAGGTTTTGTGGTTAAATCACTTTCTATATCTGAGTCAGATAAGGAATATGACACTAATTTGACAAATGTTGCTTCATCATTAGTTTCCATGATTATCAGAATAAAATGATTAGAAGACAGAAATAAATTTTTCATTTAATATGTCAATAACTTTTCAATTATTTTTCAAAGCACAACACAATTTTTATGTCTAGATTAATTTTGGACTATTTTACACTAAAAACAAAAGGACTTATTTCTTTATAATCGAAATATTTTTCCTGGTAATAAGGTTTTTTAAAATAATATTACTAAAAATGAAATACTGGGTTTTAGAGCATTCTTATTTAAGCATTAGTTCATTTTTGTTAAAAGTGGACTTACACCCGTTTAGCTCTCAAGTACAGCTATAAGGTCCGTAGATTCGCTGCAATATTATCTGTCCACCACATCTTCGGTCTTCCCACACCACTTTGACGACACATTTGCCTTGTCTCCTAAGATGGTCGACCCATCTCAATCTTTCTAACTTTATTACTTATATTATATCTCGCTGGTTATATAGTTTCTATTAGTCTTTATTCTATGTTGATGTGTAATATTGCCCTTGACTGGTCAGTAGGTATAGGGTAATGTCACCTTGATTAGACCGCCAAAGGAAAAGTTTGAAAAAACTATTTGTGGAAGAAGATAACTCGTGGTTTTATATGTCAATATTTAGTTTATATCACTAGATAACTTTTTAGGGTATGCGATCTCCGATTTGTTATTTGGCAGAAAAATATATCTATCTTGCTAAAAAAAAGTCAAATTTTTTGGGAAAAAAATGTAAGTTTGAGTGAACCATCTTCGAAAGATTTCAAAACAGGTGGAAAAAGTAATGAAAGGCTAAAGAATAGCAAAAGTTATTGAAGTTTCTTTAATGTAAATGATTCAGTTGTTCACTTTTGTTTAGGTGGTTTAACAAACACCAGTTATTCATTGTTCAGTTTATTTTTCTTTCTCTTTTCCGTCTCTTTTTTTTGTAAAATGTGTTGTTCATAAGAGGAAATTATAGTAGAGTTCGAACAGTTCAGGTGGTTTTCATTATTTTCGTTTAGCGTTAATAAATTCATTAAATTAAGAATTCAAGTGTTTTATTTTTTTAACTTCAAGTGTTTGTGAGCAAACAAAATCTTTCTTTTTTTTTGACTTTATAAACTTCTTTTATTACTATTCATTTCTTTCAATATAACATATATGCAGAACAAAATTTATGCAGCATCAGAGTCATAGTCATTATTAGTTAAGTGCTTGCTACATGCAAGCACTTAACTAATAATGCTAATAATAACTAATAATGCTATTGTTTTGAATTAACTTTAATCTATCTTAGCACATTTGAGGTACACGGACCGCTGACGCTTGTACGCAATTGAATTGTTTCAATCTGGCAGATGATTTTGCCGAATTCTTTCCCTTGTTTTGGTTGCAATGTTTCAGGCAGTCACGTTCTGTCCTATTCTATTTTGTCATTCTGTTCCTGTAATCGTATATTTTGTTTTATCTTCGTTGTTTCGTAATCGCTTGCAGCAATTTCCATTTGAATGAACTCCTCTTTGACATTGTAAAAGTACTTTTCCCCTGTTGAGTACATACTCTGATATAATATTCTCTTCTTTCTTGTTTCTCATACTCCCCCACTCCAGACTTAACCTCCCTCCAACATTCTCCCAAAATATTAAAGTCGCTCCTCTGCTCCAGTCTATTCTCGTGCTTTATCGCCATTTTGCTTGTTTCCGCCCTCATCTTCTCCAGTTTCCACTCCTCTCTCAGTATATATCCCGGATACTTTCTCCTCAACCCTAAGATTCACCTCCAATATCTCTTCCATCTTGTATTCCTTCCACCCCATCTTTTCGCTTCCATACATTATCACACTCTTCGCCGATCCATCAAATATTATTTTTCCGCCTGCACAAATCTTTTCCAAATATTTGTTCCTCCAGGCCCATATACAGGATGTTTCGGTGACTCAGGGAACAAATTTAACCACATATACTAGAGTGAAATTGATGACGATTCATGTAAAAAAATATTAGTAAAAGTCTTTAAATTTCAAAGATACAGGCCACCAAAGTTAGAAAATTTTAACACATTTTTCCAAATATCTCAAACACTATTTAAAGTAAAGCGCTGAAATTTGGTACAGTATAAATCAATGTGATGTAAAATTGTTAGGCAATTTATGAGTTGGAACGGTCCGTGGGAACAATGCTATACAGTTACTACTATTTCCTTTAGTATTTTTTATTACTTGTCTTGTTATTTTATATACTTTTTTTATTATTCCTGTTAGTGTTGTCATTTTTTTGTTCATTTTTTGTTTCTCTTGGGAGTAACTTGTCTGGACCAACAAACTCACTTTGCAACTCTACTCTTCTACTTCTTCTTTAGTTTTCGACTATTGTTGTCTGCGTCTTTGGTTTCTGGACTGCTATACATCTGGACTCCCTTCTTGACTGGACTACGAACTACTGCCGAACTCAACTGTCTTGAAAATACTCTGTTCGTCTAAGTCTTCCGACCAGGTCTTCAATTTTACAAAAATCGCTACCACCATTTGATGTGTTGTTTGGCTTTTACTATTATGGCATCCAAATGCTATACCAAACTGCGGCTCGCGAATTGAGTTATGTCGCAAAGGTAAAGCATACCCACTATGCTTTACCTATAATGTAATGATTAATGATGTATACTGTGTACGTCTTGGTACCTTTATAACAGAACAAATCATGAATACATAGATGCTCAAACATTCACAGATTGATTTCAGAGTTCTCTTTGCCATAAAAGATAATCCCTCATCACATTTGACAGACACTGTCCTAGGAAGATATAAAAAAAATAACAAAGAATTTGTTTATCTTTCCAAAAATTCCACTACCCTCACTCAACCTTCGGATGTTGTTTAGATTATTTTGTAAGGAAAGATTAGTGACATATCCGAGTTCTTTTCCACATTTTTCATTTTTTTAATCAATTCTACTCTAAATGATGATAATTTTGCTATTTAATGTCAAAAAAAATTAGAAATCTTTTTCTGAAATGAATAGGATGAAAATATTTATGATCCTATTTCCGTCTCCCTTGGAGAATTTTATTATTTTCGGCTTTTCAACCTCCCTCAAAGTATGTCTCCATCGATCTCATCTTCTCTTTAGCCTCTGTAGCCACCACGACCAGATCATCTGAATATGCCAACGAATGATGTATCTTTTCTGTCCCTTTTTTAACCCCCTATATATGCCGCAAATAATAAAGGGCTTAATGGGCATCTTTTTCAACTATATCTTTTTCATTTTCTCTATTAGATATTCACTAATTCCCCTGTTTCTTAGCTCCTTCCACAATTTCTCTCTATTTGTTGTATCAAATGGTGCTCTTAGATCTATGAATAGTGCATACAACTTTCTCCCTTTTTATCAAGATCCCTGGTCATGAGATGTCTCAATTTGAATATGTTGTCTCTAGTCCCTTTTCCCCTTCTGAAACCTGACTGTCCATCTGGTAAAATATCATCTTTTTCAGCCTTTCGCCCAGTATTCTTTTATGCAGTATTCAACAGGGTTATCTCGCTATAACTTTGTGTAATTTCGACCAGCCACTGCCAAGGGAATTCCTCGCCCATCCACACCTCTTCTGTTGCCTTTAGCCATGCCTCATTTTGCTACCTATCCTCCCCAGCTGCTTTTCATTTCTTCAACTGCGTCAGTATCACCTCACTTATTCCACCATCTCGATTTCCCCTGCACCTTTTTTCCCACTCTCCTCCCCAAAACCCTCCACTGTCGGTGTTCACATTCTTCCAATTACATGAAATGTCCTTTCCAACTATACATAGATTTCCTGCTACTCATCTCCTCCCTACTTCTTTCTCTTTCTGTACTTCCATAGATTTTGGTAATACTAAAGCATAATATTTTAAAATAAAGGATTTGAGATTTACAATTTAAGTCAATTTCAATATGAGTTGATCTTTAAGCTTTATTAGATACATATTAATCTAGAAAATACAAAAAAAATCCTTAACTTTTAAGCAAGTTTTGCTTAGATGCTAGTTATTATTGAAACAAAATAGACTTAAAAAAAAGAATATTTAAAACACGTATCATTTCACAGTTTGTTTAAATCGTTCTAACCGTTGTTGTAACTTGTCATTTTGAGACGACCCATTAGCAGCTGAACCAAAACGTTCCTGTCGCTTCTTTTTTCTCTCCTCGTTATTCAGATTTTGTATGGTTGCTGTTGGCGCCAAACCAAATCTTTCAGCGCGTTGTTTTAACACATCTGTAGTCAATGAATTTGTTGGCGCTGAAATTTTTTCAGATCCCCCAAAACGTTCAGCACGAGCTATTTTTTTAGCATTATCTGATAATTCAACCCCAAATTTTTTGGCACGCATTTCAAGTCTCTGAAAAATACGAATAAAATATAAAGTTTTTAAGATATTTTTATCAACATACATCTTTTGCACTTAATTCTGAAAGTTTAACAACTTTTTTTTCATCCTCCTTTTCTTTACTATCAATTAATGACTTAGTATCTTCTTGGACGGCTTCAGAAACTGAAGATGTTCGGTTTAAAATAACTTTCTTAGCCGGTTTTGCGATACCTTGAACTTCATCGGATTTACGTTTACCCTTTTGATTCATTGAAATATCCATACTTCCATCAATATCTGTTATACCTGACTCAGATCCATCTAAATGGCCCATTGAAGCATCGTCATCATCCTAAAAACATTCCAACTTAGTAATTTAGTTTATAAAATTGGTTTATCATACATTTAAGAGATCCTCTTCGAGATCATCAACAGATTCTCCAACTGTATCGTCCAGCTTAGATTTCATCGAGTTTTTCAATCGTTCAAGAAGTTCGGTTTTGTTTCCGGTAGCGCTTAAACCTCTCAGTTTTAATTCGCGCTTTAAATCCGGTACCTGTGACAACATAACCTCAATGTTTTTATATTCATTTTGGAAGGGTGAAGGAAAAGGGTGGAAAAACTGCGAGTACTCACCTTCATTTTACTTATATCAAGAATTGGATCTAATTCTGTGTCCATATTTACGAGTAACGAGTATATGTGGTGGGTTTAACAACAACAACAATTAGGTTAAGCACTTCTTTTGAAGGTTAGGGTAAAACTTTTAAGAGGAGTTGCTTAAAACTATAAATAGAGACAGAGATTATATGCTTTTTTAATTATTTGTGTTTCGTTTTAGTTTGATTAGATTAATTCGAAAGTATTAATCAAAATATAAGAAAATGAGAACGGGATAAGGAAACTGCAAAAATTGTTTTAATATTTCGATGATAGATGGCGCGCATACTAAAAAATCAAAATTTTGAAATTGCATAGAATCTAGTTTATTCAGCTATTAAATAACGTTTTCTCAATTAATTATAATATTACTGATGTATATTTTTATTTAAAAACGATATTGTTTTTTGGTTTGATTTGAGTTATACTAAAAAGTAAACCTGAAACAAATATTTTTTTAAAAATTTGTAAGTTTAGATTGATAATTTACCTCTTTATTCGTATCGTAATAACATTTGTGTGTTTGATAAACAGTATCGCAAGGACTTGATCCCTCTAAACACAGTAAAGAAAGTTAATACAAAAAATTATAAGAATTATTTATGAAAATATTACTTATAACACCACATTTTCTCATAATCGGAGCCGCATCGTCGGCCATTTCCTCAGGCAAAAGCGCTATAGCCGCTTCTACATCAATAACACCATCATCATCAACCTAAAATACCCATGTAAAAGAAATGACACTAAAAGAAATATAAGTTAAAAGGATTATAGTCGTTTTTACTCACGATGGCCATTTCATCCATTACACATTTTATGTAGCATTTTAGTAGATTCTCATCCGGGAAACCCTCTTTTTTTTGAACAGTAGTAATAAATGCTAAAAAAATATATAGTTTTAAAATTTTGATGATATTGACATCCGGAAAGGATTTTTCTTTTGTGGGCCAGGGGTCCAGTGACCCGACTTTCATAGGATACTATGAGGACCCTCGGAAACTTGGATTACTTTAAATATATCACAGGCAAAGTCATTACCACCTTTATTATAGTAGAATGCCTGCAGATGTAACATATTTAGACAACAATGAGTCGGTAGCTAGCAATGATACCAGGTCAATTGGTAAATATATTATATGTTTCTTAAATAGACCTGCAAATAGTTTCTGTCGTTGATAGAGTATCTTGGACAGGTGAAAAAGATTTAATGCCAATTTTAAACAGATAGGTGGGACATAGCGCATGTCCTATGCTCAGTCTAGTAATGAGACTATAGAACTGGCGTGATACAAAGGGATCTTTTTTGAACCATGGAATTTTTTGTACCATGGGTTGGCAAATAGCGTACCTAATCCCTTTAATTGAGCTGCTTCTAGTCCACTCTTGATCGCATTCATCAATATCTTGCTGATATAATTCTTTTCCATAGATGTTTACTCTGTAACCCTCCTCTTGGTGTCTCCTGTTCACCAATTCGTCAGCTTTTTCATTTCCACTCACTCCCATATACCGTGTCATATCAATATCTTTTTGATATGCCAAGAATAATAGGCTTAAAGCTCTATTGATAAAAGGATGTAATTTCTTTTCGAGGTTTGTGTTCTTAATACGCTCGTGTGATGAAATCTGTTATAATCTTTATAATCTCTTAAGATGGCAAAAGAACTCATATTCCAAGAAATGGATTTTATACGAATTTTTAAAAGTTAATCGGCGAAAATTGTAAAATTCGAAAAAGTGACGATCATCTCACGAACTGAAAGTGATTTTTCAAAACGGCTTGTTGCATTAAAAAGAGGATACTTTAATTAATAATTGGTGATATTTCCACAAGGATCTTTCAAGAAATTAATTTTATACCGCATTTTGAAAATTATCGTTCAAAATAGCAACATCGAAAATTTGATCAAAACTTCAAATATTGTTTTTTCAAAAACTAAAAGTTATTCTTCAAAAAGGGTTGGTTCGTTGGAAAGAGGACACTTTTATTAACACTTTGGGAAATTTTTACACCCATATAAAGAGTAACTTTATACGTGAAATTGTGTCCCACATTGTACAAAATCCCTTGCTGCATTCCGAACATTTCCCCGACGTGTAACACTTCTTGAATCACCTCGGAGTACATCGTGTCTTCACTTAAAGCGACCACTTCGCCCTCGTCGATAAAATACATGCACCTATCTATGTCCCCGACGTAAGTGACTTTATCGCCGGGGAAAAAAACTAACGTCTTCATCCTCGCGGTCATTTGCCGTGTCAAATCTTTGTGTAAATTTTTCATGATTGGGTGATTGTTTAAGTGGAATCCA